TGTCAAGCACGAACTTCTCGCACAGGAAACGGCACCGCCTTACATGGAAACCGCCAGCCTCTTCATAACGCTGGACCCAAATCGACCACATCGCCATCAGTTACCGCTGTAGAGGGTCAATTCAAGACTGCCGCTCTTACTGGTTCACACCTGTGGATACGGACCATGCTTTNNNNATGAACATGAAAGTAGGATCGAAGAGAAAATTGAAAAGTTCAGTGGACTAATGATACAGAGAAATTGAGAAGATGCCGAGGTCGATGAGATCCATCTTTTGTGTTTTGAGCCTTCGCAAAGGTCTGACGTTGTTGTTACCGATATTTGCATAGTTTCTTTGATTTGCTTCCAGTGTTCATTGAGTTCTTCAGCTGGTAGTTGAACTGACAGTCGACCGGAGAGTTCCGCTTCGCAGGCTGCTTTGCAACAATCGCTGACGTTGTATCGTGGGTATCCGTTGTCCGTGGCTTTTTTGTGGTTTGCCAGGCGTGAACAGAATTCGGCTCGTAATAAAGCGTGATCCGTGACCCGAAATTCCCTTTTCACTTAGCCGCGTTCGATGTCCTCACACTACCAGATTGGTCAACAAGCTGCCTTAGTATCCTTGAAACTTTCCATTTAGATGTACGCTGTCTCCGAAGGGGTGTGTGCAGAATTCGATTGCGTACTCTGTGTGTGTTGACTATAGAGGTTCACCTCCCCCCTCCCTGAAAATGGCTCCATTCACTGTCCGCTTTCAATTTTACCACTAACCTTGCATGCTTTGCGAGTGTGGCAGCGATCAGTGAAGGCCGCCTTACTGTATTTCGCTGTAGGTTGATGATAAGATAATGATTGAGCTTAAGAAATAAATGTATTGGACTTTTCAATTTGCCCTTTATGCACGGATGCTTCAGCGAACCACCTGTTCGACGAGTCATGCAGACATCTAGAAAAGGCAATTTGGCGGCACACTCCATTTCTAAAGTAAATGTCATGTTAGGATACGCAGTATTGAACCTGCTTAATAGCTCCGTTGTGTTCTATGTTGCCTTGGCAACTAAAAATATCCACGTACCGTGTGTATAGCATGCGGTCTTCATCGGATGACTGTAATTGAGTGTTTTCAAGCTTCGCCATGAGTTGGTGTGCTAAAAGCGGTCCCAACCGAGACCCCTTAACTACAGCATCCTTTTGTCGGTACATCTTATCGTTAAAATAAACCAAACATTAAATATACATAAAGCAGATACTTTGGGCTATCCAATGGGTAGAGCTAACTCTAGATTATTAGTTTGTACATAACGGCACGGGTATTCAATTGTTTCGCTGATGATAACATTTGTAACCAGCGGCCTAACGTCCAGCGAGGGCATTGTTCGATCGACCAAGTTCATGTCTTGAATTTCGTGGAAATTTAGAACCGGGCCTGTGATCAACCATTGTCTGAACCTCAAAGTAAAGGGACGGATCTGTGAAAACCACACTCCGTTGGGCTCTGATGTCCAGTCCATCGGGTCGTGTGTTCTTTAGACTTGGTAGTCATCATCATCGTACAGTGAGATACAGTGAAGCGAACCTCGCTGATCACTGCCAAGCTCACAATATACCCAAATCAGGTGATGAAGCACAAGATTTAGAGGGATTGGGCCTAATTAGAGAGAGGCAAAGAAAATGAACCTCAATGGCCAACACACAGATTATACAATCTAAGTGTACGTACATACGTTTTCAAGAATTCTGACCTGATAAGAAATGACAACAAGAAAGCCACTGCTGCCGGTTAGTCGCACTATCCTTCAATGTCTCCAACCAGCCAGTTGCAGAATCTTTTGGACCCCAACTCCGAAGACGAAAGATATCGATTCTACCTAATCGCTCTAAGCATTTTTCATGACACGCTTCCACTTCATCTGTTGACCTTCACGCGGTTTCTTCCAACCTGGAGCAGCAACTGCGAATAAAACGCGGTGCGGCAGACGACGGCTGGGCATGCGCAATACGTGTCGTAACCAGCGAAACCGACCAAGCTGAATTCGATGGGAAAACGGATTCTCCATCGAATCGTTATCAAATACGCGACGCCTCACCTCAGAGTTGTCTACAAGCTCGCTCCATCCAACCCGCGATAAACTACGTGTTTCAATCCTGCGTACGTTTCTCGAACCTTGGAAATGCGGGCGGTTACTTCATTGTCTATGCTACCATCATTTGAAACGCAGCTACCTAAGTAGGAGAAACATTCCACTACAGCTAATTCTTGATCATCAAGCATCAGCGCTGAGGTAGACGACACCCAGTCTTGTAGACAGATTCATACACCCAACGTGACCAATACACCTCCATGCCCAATCAAGTTGGTGACCACTGCCACAACCAGGACGGCATGGGTGAGTGTAGTTCGTACTCCTCATGTTGGTTGTTTTGGAACTAGAGCTTTTAGCAAACTCCACGTGAACTGTCAGTGGTTCAGCGACCCGGTTATAGCCCCGGATGTTCCCTTTTCATCCTCTTACTTAGGTGGAGAATCACCTCCGCTATGTGAAGGCGGTGAGTAGGGCTTTCTCAGCAAAGGCTGTTTGGGTCACTTGGTCTTATAGGAGCATTTCTTGAGGTGCAAGAGAGGTGACTAACCACAGCGCAAGGCACCCACTACGACCATACTGGGGCTTTCCGGGACATGAAGGACTTGAAGTATAATAGCCCAAATCAAGCATATAGGTCTCTTCAGGCTTCTAGTTGTTTTGGCCTCCGAACTAGCCACATCATTGGCCAATAAGACCGGAATATAGCTCAGTGTCTTCAACAGTGTTGGTTCCGT